CTCTGTCTCTGGTGAAGCCTCTCACCCTCCGCATCTCTGGCCTGTACCCCAGTTCTGTATGAATAAATAAATCTTAAAAAAAAAAAAGGAAACCCCGCTCTGGCCCTGTGTGTCCTTCCCCTGTGGGGGGCGCGGGGTGGCTGCCGGGGTCCCATGCACGGAGCCCCCAGCCACAGACGCAGGTTGGGGAGTGAGCAGAGCCCCAGGCTGGCGGGACCAGCCCGGGGGCCCCATGGCCGGGGCCCCGCTCGCCCTCCGGTGTGACTCGGGGGTCTCTGCCCATCTGGGCACCAGCTTTCTCACCAGGAAGGTGGAATCACCCCAGACATGTTCCAAAACTGTTCAAGGACTCCCCACCCTGGCCAGTAGGGCTGAGGGGATCAAGTCCAGTTTTGGAGGACCAGAAAGCTGCAGTGGGGGTGCCCAGGGCCTGGGGCACCTGTTCAGTCAGCAACTGGCAGCGGGCTGTTGGCCAGCTGAAGACCAGAGTGTGAGAGGGAACGCCGAGGTGCCAGCTGGGCCATGGGGTGCAGAGACCCCGGGTGAGGGCGAGCGGGGCGCAGTGGGGCTGCTGTGGGGTGCGGCGGGGCGGTTCGGGAGAGCGGCTGAGGTGGGCCTGGCAGCCGGGCCTGAGGCCGGGGCGGGGGTGGGGGGTGCCGGTCCCTGACCCAAGGGCCTGGCTGCTGCTGGAGCCTCCGGAGCCCACGTCCAGGGGCGCAGGCCAGCGGGCAGGGCGCCGGCCCACTCTGCCGCCCCCTGGCGGTGGCTTGCTCCTCCTGGCGGGAAGAAGGCGCAGGCCGGGCTCCGGCTTCACGGAGGCCTTCTCTTCCCACGGCCATCACTGCCCAGCAGGCCCGTGCGGCTGTCGCTCAGCTCCCTCTTCACCATCCGTGTGCTTTCTGCTCTTCTGCTGGGGGTGCGCCCCAGGGCGTGTGGCCCCTGTGCGGCGCTGCACCAACAGCGAGGGCGTCTGGGCACGCGGGAATGGGGGTGCCAGCGGTGAGTGCGGTGTGAGTCCTGGAATGCCAGCACTGCCCGTGTCCCGGGAGCCCAAGGCAAGGAGGGGTTTCTGGAAAAAACCCAGAGGGATTTTGGTGCCCGGCTTTGGGGGTAAATGAGAAGTATTTGGAGTGAGCCCACTGAAGGGGCTCCTGGTGGCAGCGCGGGGGAGGGCACAGCGCTGAGTCAACCGGCAGCCCCTGCAGCAGAGTTCGACCCCCGGCCAGGGAGGGACCTCAGGGCGCAGCAGCCCCCTCCTGTCTCCCCGCTGCCCCCCTCAGCAGTGGGTTTCGGTGGATCTGCCTGTTCTGCTCCCCACTCTGTCTCTGGGGAGTCTCCCACCCCCACACCTCCGGCCTGTACCCCAGTTCTCATATGCATAATCCATAAATCTTCAAAAAAAAGAAGACCCAGGAAAGCCCAAGCTGGGGTATTTCCTCTGTGCTCACAGTGACGCAGGAAATGTCCACACACATCGCTTGCACCCAAGGCAGGGAGCTGAAAACTGGACGTCTCTGGGCGCAGGGAGCCCTGCTGTGGGCTGAAGTGTCCGAGAGTGGCTGGGGCTGGTGAGAATCAGGAAAGGACAGGCTGCAGGAAAGCCCACGGTGCGCCCGGGAGGCCTGGAGGGGAGAGGCTCCCTGCGGGGCCCAGCACCGGGCACCGGGCAGTTCCCACCCCGGCCGGGGGTGAGGCACCGGACAGCGGCTCCGTGAAGCGAAGCCCACCTCTACCTCTTACTTGTTCCACCAGCGACTTCATGCGCTCTGATCACAACCCTGAATTCCCCAGAAGCCCAGGTGCCCCCAGCCCGCACCCCCTGCCCCAGGCAATCACCCAGGAGCTCCGGGGGCTGGTTAATGGTTAACGAGCCTTCAGGGAAGTTCTTCCCCAGAACTTTACCACGTTCACCGGCTCAGTTCTGGAGACACGGTCAGTGAGCCCGGCCTGTTGCCAGGGCTTCCCCGCTGCAGACAGGACGCTGGGAGCGGGCAGGGCTACGCTGTGCCAACGCAGGTGGGCGCAGGGACAGCTCGCCCTGCAGGCGCAGGTGGAGCCCCGTAAATGCAGGGCCTGAGCTGTGACCCCGAAAGACAGGGTCTCCTCCACCGCCGCCCCAGGCCGGAAACACGCTGTGTACACAGCTGCAGGCCCCTAAGTGCTTTACTGCCGCGGGGTGCACCCCCAAGCGGGCTGGGGCGCAGGACTGACTCTGGTACGTGTTAGGCCAGGGGAGCGCCGAAGGGCAGGCGGCGAGCGCCCGCTGCATGCCAGGACCTGGCGTGGAGCCTGAGCGGCAGGGACGTGGGTCTCCACGTGTCACGTTAGCAGCTTGAGGGGCGCCCAGGAGCAAGCCCTCCACTGCTGGCCCCGCTCCCACGTCTCCAGGCGCCCGCGCTCGCCAGTTCCTGCAGTTTGGACCGGTGGGTCCCTCCCCCGGGGTTCAGGGCTGGGAGGACAGTTGCCTCTTGCAACAGCCTTGGCTGAGGGAGCCGTTGCAGCTGGAGCATCCTGGGAGACAAGAAGGGGTGCAGGGTCAAGGGCTGGGGGCTGGGTCCCAGGGCTCCAGTTCTCCAGGCGGAAACTTGGCAACTGGCCTCCGAGGGGGCAGAAAGTCCTTCCCCAGCGCTGCCGGGCAGGAAGGCGGGTGGGAGGCAGGGCGCTCCGCTCCCAGGCTCCGCTGGTGGCCAGACACTGATTGGCCCTGGCGTGGGCGAGTTCCCCATCTTGAGCAACAACTGAAGAGAGGTTGGGAGGCCGGGTCCTGAGGGGGAACCGGGCTCAGGGGTGTCAGCAACCCCAACGGTGAACTTGGGGTCTGCGCACAGACCTCAGTTCTCCCACCCTGTCGGGGGGCAGGTAACCGCTCACTTTCCACCTCTCTGGTGGGGGCCTCGGACCCCACAAGCCCTGTAAAATGACTGCGGAGCTCAGGGGTGGCCACTCAATGGCCCCGAGAAAAGGGAGGCAGGCGCCAGGCAGGGCGACCGGCCCGCACCCCACGAGGCCAGGGCTGCCGGCCTGAGGAGAACCCCAGGACCCCTGTTCCATCCTGTCGGCGGCTGCGGCCATCTGCAGGGTGGGCAGGGCACCCCGGGGACTGCTCATGTGGCATCGGGTCCGGCGGACGCCCCCAGTCTCCCCGGGGACCCTGCTTGAACCACCCAGCCCCCGCTGCCCCCCACCCCCACATCCCAGAGTAGTACGAGGGGAAGTTGGGGAGCCGGGCCGGGAGTGGGGCAACCGAGCCCAACGGCCCCCGGCGGGGGCTCTATAAGAGGGCCAGCGGACCTGGGGGCAGACACAGCCTGACTGAGATGACCGGCCTGGCGCCCCTCCTGCTGGCCACGCTGCTGGGCGGTGAGTGGCCACACCCGTCTCGCAGGCTCTGCTTCCCAGCACCCCTGCACCCCCAGGCCCCGCGCCCAGAGCACGAGGCTGAGGCTCGAGGGGCCTCGCCCCGGAGCCGCTCTGGGGTGAAGAGGGGCTGGGGGCCCCGCTTCTCTCTGGCTGCACACGCGGGAGCCCCACGGGCGGGCGGTGTCCCCCTGCAAGTCCAGGCTGGCTGGCCACTTGGGTGGGGCTCACCGCCGCCCACGCCTGTGTCCCCAGGCCCCGCGCTGGCCTCGGAGATCGTGGGAGGCCAGGCGGCCCGGCCCCACGCGTGGCCCTTCATGGCGTCCCTGCAGCAGCGCGGAGTCCACTTCTGTGGGGCCACCCTGATCGCCCCGAACTTCGTCATGTCGGCTGCGCACTGCGTGGGTGACTTGTGAGTGGCCGCTCGTCAGTCTCACACCTGCCCACGCCCCGACGCCCCAGTTCCACGGGGCCTGCCTGTGCTCCCCCTGGGGGCGCTGGCCGGCTCAGGGAGGGGCCGGGGGCTCCCCTCTCCGCCCCAGGCCGCCGGCTGAGCTGCACCCTTTCTTGCCCTCAGTAACCCCCAGTCGGTGCAGGTGGTGCTGGGGGCCCACGACCTGGGCCGGCGCGAGTCCACCCGGCAGACGTTCGGGGTGCAGAGGATCTTCGAGAACGGCTTTGACCCCACCACCCTGCAGAACGACAT